TCTTTGCTAATGAGATACATTGTATTCCTAGAGAGAAAAAATGCCCAAATGAATAAAATAGTTTCTGGCCGAGGCCTGTACCCAGGCTTCGTGATGACAGCTGCAGCTATGTCAAGATCTTGTCACCATTAATTGCACCTGAAGGATGAGATGTGGACACTCTCACGCTGCGTGGTAAACATGCGCTCTCTTCCATTTATTTATCCGGCATAATCCGCATTAATTCTATGTTGATTAGAATAGAACGGTTAGGAGTTTAGCAAGCCATGGAACCCTAACTGAATGAATAAATATTTTCCCTTCAGGAAGGCTTTTTCCTAGGAACCTTGAATATGCCTGCCTGCAAAATTCCTAACATTTTAAGAATACCATATGGGCAAATAATTGCTGCTTCCAATCTGTAGTAAAAGCCTTGGGAAAAATAATCAGAGCCATAACTCTCTCTGTCTTATTACTATTTGTTGAATAAATGTGCATATTTTCTGTTAATTGTGATTCTGAAGACAGAGAGGGCTTCTTTGAGGTGACAGACAAACAGCAGGATATCATGAATATGTATGGTGCGTCTGAGAAAATAAATTAACAGGGGCCAGCCACTCTGGTGACCCACTTAGGCTGTCAGCAGCGAGTGTGACAGTTAGGGTCTGTACTGCGTGAATCTGCATGACAGAATTTCTTACCGATCAACTAATTTACTTCGTGCATTTGGATTATTTTAAGCACTAAACCATAGTCAGATAATTAATCACTAAATCACTGATACTGACATTAAGGGACAAGCAATGCATTATTGCTGATTACTGCTTAAAACCAAAGCTCGTGCAGCCACATGGCAGAAGGTGGAAGAGAGGGAGTGTGTTTAACACGTGGATTCCCTAGAGCACAGCGAACTGGGTGCCGTTCAGAAGACAAGTTGGTGAAATTTTTTTCCTCGCTTTTAACTGTTTGATTTCAGTTCAGAGCCTTTATTGGATTTTCAAGATGTACATTCACTCACAAATGGAAGCATCAGCTGAGTCTTAACCAACACATAGAAATTGTCTCAATGGCTGAGACAAAAATATCCTTAGTTGTTACCTAGTCATTTCAGGTTAGGGTCATTCTCAGCCTGAATCATCTGGATGATTTGTGTATATACCTCCAAATGTATTGTTTCTAGGGCTTAATAATACAAATCATTTTCTCACCAGATTTCTAGAATAACCAAAGCTGATAACTTATTTATCACTGCATTTTAAATGTATGACTTTCTCTTTGTGGACTACTGAGGGCACAAAGTGTCTGATCCACATCTCTGCCTCTGGCATCTGGCACTTCCTCTGGAATATAAGTAAGCATTCAATGAATATTAACTCCATAAACCTTATAAAATCAAGGGAATTAGGGATTCAGTATGCTATTTAAACCAAACACCAACTATTTGTTGACAGAGAGTGTGGAGACATAACTAAAAGCTTTGCAGATGTTGAATTTAGACGGTTTCATGAATTTCTCATCCCTCAAGCAAATTACTTAATATCTTGGAGCCTAAATTTTCTCACCAAATTTCTGCGACTGTCGTATTATCTATAGCACTGTAAGTTAATATTTGGTGCAGAGAACAAGTAAGATGTTAATTGTAAAATCACTGTTCAGCACAGTCAGTGCCATGTAGTAATTATTTATACATAGTAGCTATTATTAGTAGAAGATCAGGTATAGAAAAAAGGAAGAATTTGGAAAAACATGTTTGAGAGAGAAATATGTTTTCTCTGCTTCATGGAATATGGGGAAGACAGGCAGTGAACAATGACTACAGCGATCCAGTTTGAGACTAAATAAATGGGGCTTTATAAGAGACAAAGAGATGTGGAAAGATGAGTATGTTTACCTGGGAGGGCATAACTTGGAATGTCGGGAATACTGCAGTTGGCCAGGCCCAGCAGACCACTGTGTGTATGTATGCTGCTGTGCAAAGAGCTGTGGCCCAGAGATACGTATTTTAGAGATAGTGATAAACCAAGAAAACATGACAAAGGTCTTGCAGTTGACCCTTGAACCAGGCAGGGCTGAGGAGCCCCTTTGCCCACATCATTGAAAATGCATGTATCACTCTTGACTTCTCAAAAACTCAGCTACTAATAATCTACTATTGACCGGAAGCCTTACTGATAACACAGATGGCCAATTAACGCATACAAGATTCTATATATGTGCCATATACTTTATTCTTACAATAAAGTTAGCTAGAGAAAAAAATATATTAAGAAAATCATAAAGAAAAAATATATTTGCTGTTCATTCAGTGGAAGCACAATATCGTAAAGGTGTGTAGTCCTCATCCTCACGTTACATAGAGTCTGGAGGAGAAGGAGGAGGAGGAAGAGGCCTTGGTCTTTCATCTCCAGAGAGGCAGAGGGAGACGAAAGTCTGTATACAAGCAGACTCACACAGTTCAAACCTACGTTGTTTGAGGGTTAACTGTAATCCCCATAAGATGGGTTATAATTCAGAATTCTGAGGAATGTGCATGTTTTGAAGTGCATACAGAGAAGCAGAGACACCTGCAACTGAGGCAGGATAGATGACAAGGGAGATTCGACAGGAACCAAGAAGGGTGACACTCAGAAGCCAGAAGGTACAGCAGCCTGAAGGGGGAATGGACAGTGTTGTCACATGAGTCTTAGACACCTTAAAATATAAGGATTGAAATCTCTGCATTGGAGATGACCACAAAACCAGGGTGACCTTAATGGGACAGAGTCCATGTGCTCCATGACGGGAGCCAGTCAGTGGAAGGAGGCAATGGGTAACAAATGAATAGTGGAACAAGGGGATAACAGCCCATTTAAAATGCGAATGAGCAGACTGGTGACGAACAGGAGGTCAGACTGGGGAGATAAACAGCTTTATGGGCACCAGCCTTGGGACCAGTATCCTGCTAGATTTTATTGTACTACAGAGGATACCAGAGCAAAGTAAGCTGAGTTTCTGTGATAGATCCACCTTAAAATCTTGACCACCTTTCAGCTAAGGCACGATAAACTATGACACGTTGCACATTTCATAGTAATAAATACCTGAGAATCAGAGTCTGTCATATGGCTTAATAAATGTTGTTCTTGTGAGAGTGAGTTTATAGCTGCAGCAAAGAAGGTGAGTGGGGACCCGTGCAGATCCTCTTTCGGGTAGGTGGGATGAATGTTCTCGGCCCCTCTCCCTTTGCTGTGACCTTGCATTACACTGCGTTAGAGGAGCATGTTTCCCCATGGCATGATGTAGGCTTATGCAATACTAGCAGATGTTTCTTGAGTAAAAGCTTGAAACACATATAATTAGTTTGGCTTGACCTCTACAACACCTGTGGTCAGCTGTGGAGGGAACTGGCTCACGTAGCTGTTGGACCAAGAAAGCCATGGGACCAAGCCCAGTCTATCCTGAGCAAGACCAGAACAGCCACAATGAATCCACAGTGCCTGGGGCAGGACACACAGGATCTGCTACATAAACCATCAACATTTTGAAGTTTATGCTATGCTATAAAAATTATGAACACGGTGTTGATAACATCAAGATAGTGGGCAGGACTGTGGACTAAATGCTACGGAGAGGAGATACATCCCAGTGACACTTGCATGAGCTTCTTGGCAAAACAGGTTGTGACTCCAAAATCAGTGATGGGAAGTACAGATCATGCTCCTGTATTTTTAAATGTGGGACATAATTTACATTTTATCCTAAAGAAAATGGGAGACAATACCTTACCTGCACAAATATTCTTCCCTTCCTTGGTTATTTGACTTTTATGTCATTTATTTATTAGACCACTTTGCATTTTTGCTTGAATCTTTTTTATGTTTTTGGTTTAATGTTCTTATTTGACTGCTATGATGTTATTCAAATTCCCGATTATAAAAAAAAAAAATTCTCACTTAGGTACTTTTCTCTCTGTTGATAAAAGGGAGATGAAAGAAGACAAAGTTTTCATTTTTATTGTTATTTATTTTTTAAAAGAGATTCTGGCGTTACTTTCCTTCTTTCACTCACAGATAAATTTCATTTTTCAGAGGTAGTTTATTGCTTGCGACCCTCCCTGTCCTGTATAGTGAAGTCCAATTATAGCTGCTCAAATGGATGAAATTTATTTCATGCATTCTTTTTCTCCACAATAAAAATAAAAGTAAAGAATTTCATGCAAATATAGAAGTGAGATCAAATGAAAAGACTTTTCACTAAAACTCCAAAATTTAATATGGGTCAATTTTAAAATTAATGTTGAAAGACTTCGCCACGCTCCTGCTTCCTTTCCTGGGGACAGTCCTTTCTTTGCCCTCCCTGGCCCCATCACTTGCACAATGTGACTTATCCTTTGGACATCTGGTTACGTTTGTTCTTTAAAGTTCTAGCTAACGTGTCCTCCCTGACCACCTCCTGCTCACACTTCTATTGAGTTATGTTTTTCCACAGGAAACATGCAATGGTCTTGCCTCTGTCATCAACTTGCTGAAAGATAGAGCAAGTGCCTCCCCTTCTCCTTTCTCTAAATGCCAATGTTTCTATTTTATCCTGAGAAACTTCAGAGGCCACGTTTTTGAGCTCTGGGACCTATGATTCACACACAACATTCTGTGACTGGCTAGTCTAACAACCAAAAAAATCATATTTTGATTAAAAGAGATCTTTCAAAGTAAAATATTGGGTATAACTCTAATGTTAAAAAATAAAAAAAAAAAAAAAAAAAAAAAAAAAAGAAGCAGGAAAGATGGATGAGATGGTCTCTTAGGATAACCACTAGAGTGGCCAGAGAGCAGCAGGACTGAGGAGAGAGCGCTGGTGGATAGATCAGGTGGTGGTTTCAGGGGCTCCAGGAAGAGCTTGTTCAGGCCTGCGGTGTAGGAAGACACATGAAAAAGAAGAGCGGGATAATTTCAGAGGAAAAGTGTAGCCCTCCTGCTGCCAGCCTGCTGTGTGTTTCATAGCTCTGTGATGAACTTGAACTTAAAGGCTCCTTCCTTACAGCCCCTGATATTCCGTGATGTTCTTAAAGCCCTGGCTTAGGACTCTTTCCACACAGCCACTTCAGAGACTGTTTTTTAAGCAGGATGGGAATTGAGAAATACCCTTTTTTGTAAGGGCCTGAGTTTCCTAGAGCTGCTGCCTGGATCCAGTACTTTATTCTTTCCTTTCCTCAGTGGTTTTACTTCGTCCCAAAATAAAAACTAATAGATCCCAGTCATCAGAATGAAGTTGTGGTTGAGCCAATGGCAGAAGGATAGATTTTTTCCTGGCCTGAAATTCCTCCAGTGGAGATAGGAGCCGGTGGTTAGTTATATCTACTCCCAGTGATGCAGGCCAAGAACAGCCAGTTCTGTGCTGAGCGCCCTTTGAAAGGAGTGGGATTGTTTTTGTCTGTCCACTGATGCTGACAATATACACTTCAGAATCTAATGAAGTAAAAATTGGTGTTTTGTTTTTCCTTTTGAGGGGGCAGTACCTGAATTATTTAAAAGTAAACTTAAAAAATAACTGTCCAAAACTAAGGGCAATGCATGGAAAATTATGTTACTTGATCAAGGTACAGGAGTTTGCTGACATCCTTGCTGCTGTTTTCTCTTCATAGCCTTACAGTGAATTCTACAGATAAGGGATTCCACCTGTAGCGGAGGTGGAAGAAGCAGCCAGGAGGAAACCTATGTATATCAGTTACATCCTCTTCTTGTCTTGGAATTGTAGGCTCCGCTTTTCAGAACACAGATGACATGTAGGGACTGCCCTGTTAGCTCGCAGTGGACGGCTCAATTGCAAATGTCAGACTGTCTTTAGGAGAATAATGAAAAATGTCACTTCATCATCCTAGGAGATTAGTCAAGCAAGAGTTTGTAGGGTTGTTGAAAATTATTATTCCTAGCTCCAACTAGAGATATAAATTTGGCTTTTGTTTTAACGGAAAAGGCGAGGAGGCTGTTGCCATGGTACAAATTGGGTGAAGTCGGCTCTTGTTTGTTTCATAGACTTGGGTGTTTCTGTATATCACCTTTGGGTACGATTCCTGTCTTCTGCCTCACACCATTCCCATTACTATAATCAGAAGTTGAGTAATAGTAAAACCTGAGTACTTGTGGAGTGTGTTGCTACTTAATATCTGTTGAAGTCCGCTTTTTAAACTTTATTCTTTAAAGTATTTTATTCCTGGTGGGGCTGGTGGCACACATCTGCAATCCCAGCATTTTGGGGTTCTCTTCCACCCAAGGCAAGAAAATCACTTGAGCTCAGGATTTTGAGATGAGCTGGCCAACAGAGACCCTGTCTCTATAAAAAAAAATTAAAAATTAGCCAAGCATGCTGGCACATGCCTGTGCTGGTAGTCTCAGTCCTGACTGAGACAGAAGGATCACTTGAGCCCAAGAGTTTGAAGCTCTGAAGGTTTGAAGCTGCAGTGAGCTATGCTTGTAGCATTCTAGCCTGGGCAACAGAGCGAGACCCTGTCTGTAAAAAAAAAAAAAGAAAGAAAAAAAGTTATTCTTAAAATCATGCCTTATGGGCTATATAGACTGAGCACCTGAACTTCTCCAAGACCTGGCTTTGGTGATAAGTCTCATTTTAAAATGTCTCTAAAACTTGAGTGACCGGGTATGAATCCTGTGGGACTATGAAACTGTTGGCCTTGGAGGAGTATGATCACAGGTCGCAGTTGGCCTTGGTGGGGGCGTATACTGAATCCTCCATAACAAAGCGCCCTGGCTGTGCGTAGCTGTGAAGTAGTCATTGTTTTCTCTTCTCCCATTCCTGTTTTCCAGAGGTTCAAGCAGTTCTGCTAACTGACATTTTAGTTTTCCTTCAAGAAAAAGACCAGAAGTACATCTTCGCATCATTGGTAAGTCAAATTGTTATTCTCGTAATAGTATTCAGAACAGCTAGGTTTGTTATGGAGCGTAAAAACCATATAATCCTCTCTCACCCTCTTAAAATTGAATGGCTCGGTGCACATTCCCATGAGTTAATTTTCTATATAACCTTAGAGTTTGCTGTCATCCTCTCTTCACTCCCCCCAAATTATTTTTACTTTCCATAACAATCCTTTTGATTGTCTTGGACATTTGACAATTGGATCTAAAAAGAAGTCTGCCTCTGGAGTGTTTCTTACTAAACATTAGGCCCCACAAATGGTGCTGATGTGTAATATTGCTGACCACGTTCTGTGGGGACCTGCAAAGGGTCATCATGTAGGAGATCCTTTATGACTATAAATTCTCATCTTCCTTTTGGAAATCTTTTTCTTTTTGGTAAAATTGGAAGGAAAATGCAGAATATTTTTCTTTATCCAAAAGCTAGCTACCATTGTTTTTTAAACCGTATGCTTCTGAAATAGCATCTTGTCTCACCTTAGATCAAAGTTGTCTTTCAGAGTTGAACATTTTATTCATATCTTACATTTGCCCTCTTTCCTTTTTCCAGGACCAAAAATCAACAGTGATCTCCTTAAAGAAACTGATTGTAAGAGAAGTGGCCCATGAGGAAAAAGGTCTATTCCTGATCAGTATGGGGATGAGAGATCCAGAGATGGTAGAAGTCCATGCCAGCTCCAAGGAGGAACGAAACAGCTGGATCCAGATCATTCAGGACACAATCAACACCCTGTAAGTCAGACCCCAGGGCCCACCCTTCCTGGCCTTCCTCTGCCTCTGTGAGTGATGTCATAATAGACTGGACCGTGACCAAAGGAATTCACATCTTAGGAATTTTTTTGTTTTGTCCTGTTTTGTTTGGGTTGTATTAGGAACAGAGATGAAGATGAAGGAATTCCTAGTGAGAACGAAGAAGAAAAGAAAATGTTGGACACCAAAGCCCGGGAGTTAAAAGGTAAACTGTCGGGAGAGTGAGACGTGGTCCGGAATGTCTTCGCTTACGTAAGCCTGGTGGTGGTTTGGGGAGGTACTAGCTATTGACTGCCTCTTAGTTCTAAAGAGAGAGAATCTCCCCAGTAGGGCCTTGAAAACAGAGAGATGACTGACTTTTACCAAAAGAGAAACCAAGTTCAAGCTGACACAGGAGAACATGTCCCTGCTCCATCAAGAGGATATTGCTTATCTTGTCTTAGTATCGGTGTTCTTCGGCCCTGGTGACATTCTTTGTATTTTGTCACTGGCCAGAATCCATAGTCACATCTAAGATTAAACAAGGCGAAAGGGTTATTTGAGGAAAAAAATTCTCTAGTTCATCGGTTTTGATCTTCCTGTCAGTCTCTCTGACTTTATCACTTATCTGTGTTCACAAATGACACAGATAAGTGTCTGTGAGGTTGTCTGGGGAGAAGAGTACTTAGTGATCTGTGTTTGGCCAATGTTTATTGCGCCCTTACTGTTTAGCGTGGCCAGTATCCCTACAAGGCGAGTATCCTAATCCCCATCATGCAGACAGATAAGACAGTTGAGGACCACAAAGGCCAAGTACCCAGGGTCACTTCTGTGGTTAGTGGCTGAGCCGTAACTCTAATCTCGATCTTATAAACAGCAGGGCCTGCTTCTGTTCCCTCTTAGACAGTGGCTCATTAGAAGTTCCAAAGTAAAGGCTGTGCTTTGGGTAGAAATGCGACTTAAATAAATGTAAGCACCCAAGGAGTTTAGTTAAGCCTTCAAGCTATATAAGATGATAGTATTCTGCTTTGCAGGGAGGGACAGTTAAAAAATGTTGTACAGATTTAGACCAGACCCAGAGTTACATCAAAATTATTAACCCATAATTAGGTTGACAACGATAAAATCTCTAACGATAAAATCTTTTGTTAAGCACCTGGCGAGGTATAATGCTAGTGCTAGGAGTGCAAAAATTCCTAAAGCAGAGCCCTTTCCCTCGGGCAAGGGGACATACATGAATGACAGGGCACAGGGTTTATGAGACCATAGGCACATTTAAAGTATGTGAAATCTGCTCACCCTGCCCCTGGTAAGTCTCACAGAGAAGCTGATGCATGAGCTACATCAGAGAGAAATTCTCTTAGCAAACAAGAAGAATACCTATGTGCCAAGGTGATGAAGGACTTGATATGTCTACCAAAGAGTGATAGGTGTGATATGTCTGGAGGGTCAGGGCTAAGTGATGAGAACTTCACTGGGAAGGCATCAAATCTTAAAAGGCAGTTTAAGGCTGGGTCCCATGACTCACACCTGTTGTCCTAGCACTGTGGGGGGCCGAGGCAGGTGGATTACTTGAGCTCACAAGTTCGAGGCCAGCCTGAGCAAGAGCTAGACCTCATAGAAAAACTAGAAAAAATAGAAAAACTAGCTGGGTCTGGTGGCTGGCATACCACCATACCACCTTGGGAGGCTAAGGCAAGACGATTGCTTGAGCTCAAGAAGCTGAAGTTACTATGAATTATATTGATGTCGCAGCACTCAACCCACAGCACCTGAGTGAGACTCTGTCTTAAAAATAATTTTATTTTCAGCATGTTGAAACCAGTTGGGAGAATTTCTTGAGGGAGCTACGGAAATGGAAGGGCAGTTGGGAGACTCGTAAAATAGGTTAGGTGAGAAATGCCCTCACCTAAGAGAGAATAAAAGTAAGAAACAAGATCATTAAAATCTGATCTTTGGAGCTCAGTGCCTATAGCACAATGGTTAGCACAGCACCAGCCACATACACCTAGGGAGCCAGGTTTGAACCCGGCCCAGGCCAGCTAAACGACAATGACAATTACAACAAAAAGCCGAGCATTGTGACGGGCACCTGTAGTCTCAGCTACCTGGGAGGCCGAGGCAAGAGAATCACTTAAGCCCTAGAGTTTGAGGTTGCTGTGAGCTGTGATGCCACGGCACTCTACCAAGAGCAACATAGACTTTGTCTAAAAAAAAAAAAAAAAACTGCCACCTTTGGGTGGGTGATGACACAGGTGAGAATTCTCTCCCCAGTTTCCAAATTGGGTACCTGGAGAATGACAAGCTGTTAACTGAGGAGGAGACTCCAAGCCAGAGGGGGAGGGGGCAGGTGGGACAGAGGGAAGGTTATTCTCTGACATGCAGAGAACAAAGCATCTCAGTGGAGGAGGCCCCTTGACAGTGGAACCTCATGGTCTGCTGCCAACAAAGGAGGGGAGGATTTGGGGTGCTTTTAGTGAGTGATTATCGTGCAGAAAGTGACCAAAGCCGTGGGAATGATTTCGAATCCCCAAGAGGAGAATGTAAGGTACGAAGGCAGCTCAGCGTGGAGCTGAGGGAGGCGCTCAGGTACACAGCCCACTGCAAATGGCAGGTCTGTAAAGTGTCCTGAGAAAGCCTGTTAGGAGGAAAACCAGAATCCTCAAAGTGAAAGAGGGAAATTGTTTTAAAAGGAATGAGTCCATTCATCAGCACTGGAAAAGATGGGAACTCAGAGATGTTATTGAATTCAGTCAGTTGCAGAGTGGTGAGCCCCCATAGAGCAGCGGGCTGAGGAGTGAAGCAGAGTGCAGACTTACGTCAGTCAGGATGTCCAGTGTTTGCCAAAAAGAACAAGGATGGTTTTCCAGGTTGAAATTACAGGACAGACCAGGTACAGTGGCTCATGTCTATATAATCCCAGCACTTTGGGAGGCTGAGGAGGGAAGATCGCTTGAGCCCAGGGGTTAAAGACCAGTCTGGAAGATGTAATGAGACCCTGTGTCTACAAAATACACAAAAATTAGCTGGGTTTGGTGGCACACACCTATAATCCCAGTTACTTGGGAGACCAAGGCTAGAGGATCACTTAAGCCCAGGAGGTCAAGGCATTGAGCTACGATTGTGCCTCTGAACTCCAGCCTGGGCAACAGACCAAGATTCTGTTTCAGACAGAAAAGTAAAGGAAAAGATACAAAACACAAACTTGGTACTGCCTTTGTGATGAAAAGAGGGGTGGGTGGGTGTGTGTGTGGAACATGTTCTGTTTTGTCCCTTCCCATAAATTACCACCAGGTGGTGCTGGTGTCCTAGTCATTCCATAATAAAATACCTGATCGTTTTCTCCATCCACCCTGCAGAACAACTTCAGCAGAAGGACCACCAGATCCTGCTCTTACTGGAAGAGAAGGAGATGATCTTCCGGGACATGGCTGAGTGCAGCACGCCCTTGCCCGAGGACTACTCTCCAACTCAGAGCCCTAGAATCCTCTTCCGCTCCAACACAGAAGAGGCTCTAAAAGGAGGACCTTTGATGAAAAGTGCAATAAATGAGGGTAATTTACAATTCAGCACTGCTTCTTCCTGCATCTCCTCCCAAAGTAGTGTACATGATAATATTATCTGCCAGATTTTACTTGTTTGACTGTAAAATGAAGCACATGAACGAAAAGTTACCCAAAACAAATATTTCACTATAATAAATCATTTTCAGATGAACATCCTTATAACTGCCACCCAGCTCAGGAAATTAAATGTGGCCAGACATCTCCAAGGCCCCATGTGAGCCCTGTCTCTGTCACACCCCCCTCCTTGCAGAAGGAGCAGATATTCTGACTCGCATCAGTAATTGCTTATTTCCATTTCCTCCTGGGTTTGTGGCCCAAACCTCTCTTTTCTGGACACTACAGTTTAGTCTTGCTCAGGTTTTTAGATAGGCATGTTAAGATTTTTAATTTACAGTCCCCACCCCCCTGTCTTCTTTTCTTCTATGCAGATTTTCTTTGAAGGTCCGAATTTTTTGACTTAGATGCTTTCTCACAGTTTAGATTTTATTCATACAACAATTTTGTCCTCTGTTTCCGTCCTGTGCAAAACTGGATTCTGAGGCTTAGTGACTCAGAACCGCTCTCTTTGGCAAGCTGTGTTCTTTCATGGAAGGCACAAATTGCCTTGTCTCTTTTTTTGTGACATGTAAGAAAAGCAGGATAAAAAGATATATACTTGATTTTTTTTTTCCCTCCTCCCTTCATTTACTGATTTTACCATTTCAGTGAAATGGTTTATGGTCATCTGCAAAAGATGACTCATACTTTTCAAATTATATATTATTAAAGATTCATGAATTTAAAGATAATTTGATGAGTTTCAAGTCATTGCCATTCTTAACTGTATTAAAAGTTCAAAATGTCCTATATTTGTCAGTGAACACCTCTTTCTTTGGCGTCTTGAGTTTTAAAATGATACTGTACTGTACTTGGATTTCTCAGATTGCCCCACCTTACTTTCTAGAGGACATCTTTTGGCTGCCCTTGGATCTAGCTTCAGAACCCATGTTCCTCCCAGCAAATTACTCTGCTTTCCCTGTACCCTTTCAGATTACTTAGGCCTCATGTTTATAAGGTTGAAAGTTTCACCTTTAAATTTTTGGTAGAATCCCATTAAAACACACACCCTGGGCTCAGCACCTATAGCTCAGCAGCTAGGGTGCAGGCCACATACACTGGGGCTGGCAGGTTCAAACCTGGCCAGGGCCTGCCAAACAAGAATGACAACTACAACAAAAAAAATAGCTGGGTGTGGTGGCGAGTGCCTGTAGTCCCAACCTGTAGTCGTTGGAGGTTTAAGATATTAAGAGCAAAAAAAAAAGAAGAAACACAAAGAACATCCTTGAGAAATACACCCTAAAAAGCACCTACCACGTATCTGAGTCTGTAGTCCCAGCCTGTACTTCTTGGGAGGCTGAGGCAAGAGAATCATGTAAGCCCAAGAGTTTGAGGTTGCTGTGAGCTGTGATGCTATAGCACTCTACCATAGTAAGACTCTGTCTAAAAAAAAAAAAAAAAAAACCGCAAACACACACCACCACCCCCAAGCTGGGACATTTATCTGAGCAAGGGGAGTCACCTAATCACTCTTTGGAAACTTCTGATCATCATCTCTGTACATATTGTGTATACCATGAATTTTTTTCTTCCCTTGGAAGAAGAGATGTCAGTTTTTCATGTTTCCTTCTTTCCAGTGGAGATCCTTCAGAGTTTGGTGAGTGGAAGCCTGGGAGGCACCCTTGGTCAGGCCATCAGCAACCCTATTGAACTGGAAAACATGGTTGGCCCTATTTCCCTGCCCCGGAGAGCAGAGACCTTTGGAGGATTTGACAGCCATCAGATGAATGCTTCCAAAGGTAAATGGCTTGAACTCAGGTGCTTTTAGAGGCGACCGAACGTGACTGTGTTCTAGTAGTTCTGTCTTCTCCTCCCGTTCATCACTAGATGTTACAGTGAGGTCATAACACACTCAAGAACCTCTCTCAGACCCTTGTTTATTTTGAATAACAAAAAAGATTTTCCTGAAGTCTCAGCTAAGCTGTAGCTAAAGGGTAATAACACTTGTTTTCCTTCCTGCTTCTAGTTCTTTTCTATCAGTGAAATTAATTAGTAATCACTTAACTGCCACCAGGTGGCTTCCTTCTTTTATGAGCACTAGTAAGATTCAGAAAAACACATCCCTAAGCTACCTATGTTGTATTCTCTTCTTGGCATGTCGGTTTAGCATCTTTAAAAAAAAATACCTATTTGGTTTTTGTTTAGGAGGCGAGAAGGAAGAGGGAGACGACGGCCAGGATCTCAGGAGAACAGAATCCGATAGTGGCCTGAAGAAGGTATTTCTCTCTGAAATCGCTGTCTGTGAAGCTCTGTGACACTGCCTTCTGAGTTCATGACTGTTGAAGTTATTCCACTGGCATCTTTTTCGGATGCCTGATTTGCTGCTTTTAATAAAATCTTTATTTTCATCAAGGGGAAAGCACATTTTTAAAACAATCAGTACAATTAAGAGTCCCTAGGTTGTTATGGCTGTTAGGCCTCGTTGGCTAGAACAGTACGTTTATATTCATAACTCCGCCGTGGCCCTGGTGGGACCAGTTTCATTAAGATCAAACCTGATCTTTTTATGGGGCTTCAGTAATAAATAATTCAACCTTAGATCTTCACTGCCTGGCAGTGAGAGGCTGTGGTAGGAACAACATCAACAAAAACAATGCAAGTAGCTACAGGATAACTTGTGTGTAGAAAGACATTGCATTAGGGTAGGATCTTCATTTTTCAAATGCGTGTTTTTTGTCTTACAGGGTGGAAATGCTAACCCCATGTTTATGCTTAAAAGAAACAATGAGGTAAGGACATTCTGAGTTATTTAAAAGAATATGTGTTTCTTATCATTAGGTTAGGAGTATTCATTTTTATTTTTTTGTTACAAACAAGCTAACTCCTGGTTATAATCTGGACAAGTGAACAATAGAGTTGTCAGTTTCCTTTACCTTTTTCATTTCTTTGGCCCCAGTGTGCACTATCTTGAAATTTTGCCAGTTAGAGAGCTGCCTAATAAGATGACCTCTGTGCAGTGTCCTTAAGCAGCCTCTTCATTAGTTGGCTTTCCCTATACATGGGCCGCAAAGCTCCTTGGGGGTTTCCTTCAGTCTCAGCGGATGGAGTAGAGTTTGCAGGAGCCTTTTCCGTAACACACACCTAATGCCCACAGCCACAGGTCTAGAACATAGGCATTTAATTTGTGGGTAACGCTACGTAGTAGTTTCTTATCCTTCCAGTACTCAAAGTTGAGTTTTCTTCTTTGAGTATTGCCTTTGACTTGACATGGCTTTCGACTACAAAGTAGCTCCGGGGACCTTCCAGGTGGAAGTCAGATTCTGATGCAGGTCTGTGTCCCCCTCCTTCCGCTGAGTTCTGCTCACCCTGAAGGGTAACCACACCACTTCCACTCAGCTCTCTCCTCAGCTCCTCCCCTGAGATGATCTTCAGGGTCACTGCCACCTCCACAGTACATTCTGAGCATTTGGCTTTGTGTGTCTCCCGAGTAGACTCAGATATGTAATAGGTGCTTTTTTGGGGTTACTTCTCAAGGGCGTTCTTTGTGTTTCTTATTTTTCTTGCTCTTAACATAATATCTTAAACCTGGGAGGAACTTTGCTTGTTGATATGGAAGTCTGAGTACAGTGGTGTTCTGGAGAAGTTCCCCCCACCATGTGCTCATCTTTAAACGACACAAACCTCGGCTTACATGGCCTGCTTGCCGCCCAAAAGTTATTTGGTAGTTTGTCCTTCTGTTTGGCAATTCTTCCCCTGCATTGAGTAAGAAGAGTCAAGGTGAGAAGGAGTTAAAGACCAGTTTGTTTTCAGGCATTCCAGTATGGATTACACAGTGAGTCCCACAGGTCTCTGTGGCTTCCCTTCCTTTGTATTAAGAATAAACAGAAATAAGGGATACAGAATATTCTCAAAAAAGCTAAGCCAAGTAATTACCTTATGTGTTTTGGTTTTAAGTAATTAAAGTATTATAAAAGGAATACATATCCATGGTAGAAAAGTAACATAAGTTTTTTATTAATAAACAGTTCCACCACTGAGCAATAACTAATGTTACATGTTTGACTTTATATTTTAGGCCTTTTCTTCTACATAGTGTAATTCAAATGTCTGAGTTGCACGTGTGTGTATAAAAACAGTTTGTCTGACACTTGCTAGAGCTCACATACAGCTTTTAACTCGTAACGCGCATTACAAGCATTTCCCCGGGGTGCGTTGGTATCAGAAGCATGCCGCTGAGCAGCTGCTTGTCATTGTGTCCTGTACCATAATCTGTTTAATCTTGCTGGTAGTTAATTCTTTTTCTACTTTCTGATTTTTAAATAATTCATTCCAGAACATCCTTGTGCGTACCTTTTTGGCACAGCTGTTTAATTATTTCCTTATCACGCTAGATTAGAAGTTGCTGAAAGGAAGTTACTCAGCATTTGACCCACCCCATCCGATACCAGAGTGCCCATGTCCATCTTACGTTCACCAACATGATCATTTTTTAACATTTGTTTAGTCAGATAAGTTTAAGTGGCATTTCTTTATTTCGCATTGATTGGATTTTAAATAAGGTTAAGTCACCTCAATATGTAATTGCCCATTTGTATTTCTTTTGTAAATGGCTGGCGTATGTTCCTGGCCCCTCTTTCTATTTTTTTTTTTTGGTCCATATTGATCTGTGATACCTTTCTTAAATCAAGAATTTTTTTTCATTTGACTTTGTGTTCACATTTGTCCTTTGCCTTTTAATTTTACATTTTTACATAGTAAATTTTGCAAAAACATTTTTGTGTGGTTTCTTCCATTACTTCTGTGTTTGAAAGGCTCCCTATTTCAAGGTCAGAAAACATTCTCTTAGGATTTCTTGTAGCCCTTGTGTGGTTCATTTTTTTTACTCATAACATTTTCATCTATTTGAACTTTTTTTTTTTTTTTCAATTTTTGGCTGGGGCTGGGTTTGAACCCACCACCTCTAGTATATGGGGCTGGCACCCTACTCCTTTGAGCCACAGGCACTGCCCTGAACATTTTTTTAATGTAAGCCAGGGTCCCAACTTAGTTTTTTCTAGAAATTTAGCCAATTTTCTCAGAGCAATTAACTGAATATTCTTTTCTTGCTCATTGATTCCACATGCTACTTACCTTGAGGGATGGTTTCTAGATTTTCTTTTACACTGTGTATGCCATTTGTATGCTGGTCACTTTAAGTAATGGAAGCTTTATGATATATTTCAAAGCATGCTGCTAATCCCTCCTATACACAGTTGTTTTGTTTGGTCTCTTGCTTTTCTTGGCAGCTTATACCCACTTATTCTCTGTGGGGCTTTCAATTGGAAAATATTTTAGGAAGGGCAGCACCTGTGGCTCAGGGTAGGATGCCGGCCCCATTATACCAAGGGTGGCAGGTTTGAACCCAGCCCCGGCCAAACTGCAACCAAAAAATAGCCATGTATTGTGGCGGGCTCCTGTAGTCCCAGCTACTCGGGACTTGGTTTAGAATCCCCTAAACCAAGGAGTTGGAGGTGCTGTGAGTTGTGACGCCACGACACGCTACAGAGGGTAACAATGTAAGACTCTGTCTCTAAAAAAAGAAAAGAAATATTTCAGGAAAATAGAAGCATGTCGTTGTATTTTAAGGATGCTGTCTGTCAGGTGACCTTGTCGTGTGACGGACTCTGAAATGAACGTTCCCACTTTGTTCCTTTTGCAGCAGCTTGTCCAGAGCATCGTTCATCTCCACGAGCTCCTGAGCACTCTGCAGGTGCGTGGCTCTCCCCACCGTGTGCCTCCTCGGGGAGAGAACAGCCATAAAGAGACCACTGTTGGCTTGGGTCTTTGAGTTTTATATGTTGCTTCTCTAGATCCTCAGTCTAGAGACTAGTTCTTGTGAGAAAAATCGCAGAATGTGGGGGTTAGAATACTACCGACCGTGAAAGAGTAGAATTGGTGAACAACTGGTAGGCTGTGGCTACTACTTGATAACCATTCCACAAAGCTCATGGAGTGCTCACATGCATTTGGGAGATCATTTTACTCTAGAAAGCCTTGTGGCATGATTGTGAGTTCCTTCCTTCTGAATTCCTTCTCTCTCTGATATTTGGATAGGGTGGCACTCCTTGAACAACTACTACTGAGTTAGTCCTTCCTGGGAACATCCTCAGATTCTGCTCACGTCCTTTCTTGAAGTCCTAAACTGTCTCGTTCCCACCTCCAAAATACACACATGCCCCTTCACCGCAGGCAGCACCAGTGGCTGCAGGCAGCGTGTCACCGGGTTTGACTAAACACTAAACTCCTGCTCCTGAGGCCCCTGTTTGATAACTGCCCACAGTTGTCCTAGAGCATTTGGATCCAACCAGCTTGAAAAGCAAGGAAGGGAGTCGTAGTCCTTACGATGCCAGGCTCCCTCACTGTGGGCTCAGGAAGGGTCCCCAAGGTTGGCTGTCCTCCCAGCCAAAGTGGCACAGCTCACCTCCGTGTGTCCCCAGGGTGTGGTGCTGCAGCAGGACAGCCACATCGAGGACCAGAAGCTGCTGCTGAGTGAGAGGGCACTCACCCGGAGCCTGTCGCGCCCCAGCTCCCTCATCGAGCAGGAGAAGCAGCGCAGCCTGGAGAAGCAGCGCCAGGACCTGGCCAACCTGCAGAGGCAGCAGGCGCAGCTCCTGGAGGACAGGCGCCGGCGTGAGCGCGAGTGGGAGGCCCGTGAGAGGGACCTGCAGGAGCGCGAGGCCCGGCTGGCTCAGCGTGAGGAGAAGGTGCAACGGGGCCAACAGGACCTGGAGCGGGACTGGGAGGAGCTCCAGCAGAGGAAAGGCGCCTACCAGTGTGACCTGGAGAGGCTGCGGGCCTCCCAGAGGCAGCTCGAGAGGGACCGGGAGCAGCTGCGGCGGGACGTGGCCGAGCGCCTCAGCCAAACGCAGGTAGAGCGGAGCCTGTGCCCAGAGGCGGGGCTGCTTGCCAGCAGGAGGGGGCAGAGGGTTGGTCACCTGTCACTGTGCAGCCACCTGAGGACCCTCTGTGTGCCCATCTCTGTGAGAAAGGGAACAGAGATAGGAAGCCTGCTACTGCAAGTCTTTGTTTTGTCCTGAAGGGGGAGAAGGGAGAAGCAAGTCTTTTTCTGCTCTTTGCATCTCTAAGGGGAGAAAGGACGTGGCTAGGCCCAGGGGGTGAAGGGGAAGGTAAGTGGACCTTTGGAGTTGACTGGCACTTCCCTCATTCGCCACCAGTATAGGCCAGAGGAGCCTCGGCATCTCCCAAAGCTCTGTACCACCCAAGAAACCAGCCATGGCCATCACTGAGGGAACTTGCAGCCTGGTAGGGAAACACTGAGGAGAGAGGAGGGCCCATAATCTCCAGATAGCAGGAAATGACTTCGCTGCCAGTCCGGGAACAGCCCGTGGGGTCAGCTAGAGAGGGAAAGCCCACCCAGCAAGTGGCCACCGCTCATCCCGGGTGATATTCCCTCCTGGGATGTTCCGGCAGCTGGGTCCAGCATAGGTCCTGGTCTGCCTTGCTGCGTGGAGGAGGCCTGCCTTTCTCTGTGGCTGTGGCTTCCGCAAGAAGGCCTTGCCCTGTTCCCCACTCAGTGACTCCGCGTTCATCACAGTGATGTTCCATGGTTACTCTGGAACGCAGGCCCTTGCAGCAGGTGGAGGGTCTGGGTGTACACAGCTCTGCCTGTCTGCAAAATGCATGTCATTTTGTCATTTGATTGATTAATTGCCCTTGGACCATGAAAGAAAATTAGACTGACATCTTCCAGAGCAGGGGGCGGTTTTAACCCTCGGCACAGGTTTTTGAACATATGATCTGGGTGTAGCAAATGTTCTCTCTGCTTTACCTTTTATGCCACAAGGATGGATTCCACCCCTCCCCCGATAAAACCACTGGGGCTCTGGCAAAAGGAAGAACCCAGGAAGAGAGCACAGATGAGCCGATCCTCTTTATCTTTGGTTTAACCTTTGACCAGGATTTTGGTATTGGCTTGGCAGCTCGACTCCACTTACCCTCTAACCTAAAAAGAACCTGAGGCTTCTGTAATTACTTTGCCCAGAAATAATTATCTATATCCCTATCTAAATCAGTCTTAAAATAAGTAGCTTGTTTACTCAAGGAATGGGAGTTCTTCTCTAAGCTGCCTGTCAAAGGTACTATTAATTCTTTATGATGCTGGAGTTAGTGCATGCAATAAAAATATTAATGGTAGCAAAGGTGATATTTTTGTAGGAACTGTAGGGCAGTAAACGAAGCTGAGATGTTCTGAATCTTTTTGCAATTATCCTGTGGCATCCACAGAAATGGGCAGGCACCCAGCCAGCATGCCCAGTTGAGTTCAGCCGGTGTGCACGGTAGGGCATCTGGGTGCTGACGGCCCCAAGGTCAAGCCCCTTCTCTTAAATGTGTGCAGGTTTCACATCAACACACCAAGCTGATGAGGATCCCATCCTTCTGTCCCAGTCCTGAGGCGTCCCCCTTGCCATCTGCACCTTCAGTAGCCAAGTCAGGGTCTTTGGACTCAGAACTTTCAGCGTCACCAAGAAGGAACAGCATCTCTCGGACACATAAAGAGAAGGTGCCTTTTCACATACTGAGTTCAACCGGCCAGCCAGACAGAGCGCCAGGAGGGCAGAGCCAGGCCCCAGTGCCCACCTCAGCCCCAGCCCGCCTATTTGGGTTGGCTAAGCCAAAGGAGAAGAAGGATAAGAAAAAGAAGAGCAAAGCCAGCCGCTCGCAGCCCGGCGGTAAGTCCCCATGCCCACCCTCCCTGTGGCCATGGTGTCTGTACACGCTGAAGAGAGGGTAGATCTTAGTGCCATGGGGGATTTAAAAAGGTGCGGCACAGATGTGTGAAGCCAGACTGTCACCTTCTCACTAAACCCACTTGCTGAGAACATGAACCCAGAGGAGCCCGCTCTGTGTGGCACATGTGCAGAGGGGAGGACGCGTGTCTGAGGCGCTGCCCAGCTGAGGCACTGGAGCTCCCTACGTGGAGTCGTCCAAGTCCTCTCTGCCTTTCCAAGCCTGGCCTAGTAAACAGTAACGACCACTAGCATTGGTGATATAGTTCTCAAATGACTGTGATACTGACGCTGTTAACTCCAGAGGAAATGAGGAACCCAAAGGCGAGAGGTTCCCTGGTGTGCCAGCGGTCACAGGCCCGGCTTAACTCACACGGCACGTGTTTATATGTGTCCTCCTGGCCCTCCTTGGGACTGCTTGATCTCTCCCTTCTGTGTGAGAGGTTAAAGAGAAATTTATATTTTCCGGGTCTATTTAGAAATATGAATCCTGGTGTTTATTGTAAAAGTTAAAAAGAGCATTAGTGAAAAATATCGATAAGGACCTCACTCAGTCAGTTTGGATCCCACTGTATGGAAGGTGACCTGCCTGTAAGGCCCAGTCACCATTCCCACCACAGAAGACTTCGGTTGGGGAGGGGGTCAAGTGAAAAGAACATTTTTTTCTGAATTTCTTTTCTTTCTTGGTTTTCACTTTTGCAGATGGTCCTGCAGAAGTATCAGCTGAGGGTGAAGAGATTTTCTGCTGACCCTTCTCCCTGCCAAGGCAGCCACTTCCTGGCCCTGGTCAGGGGTTCTCAGCCCACCTGTCCTGCTGTCTGTGCATGAGTCTCTTACACTGGACGCCCACTGCTCCTCAGTGTCCAGTCCTCCTGGGTAGGCCCAGGCTCTGGACAAAAGGAACAGATAGTGTTGAGTGTTAGGGTGGGGAGGGAGGCCCAGACTCCGCTTTGGCTGTGGCTTGTGGCTGCTGAGGACCTGCTGGTTGGGGCTGGCCCTACTTGAGGTGCTACACTAAAAGTAGGGGCCCCAGAAGTGCAAGCAATGGTTCTGGACATGTCAGGAATTCCTAAAGGCTCAAAGAGCATTTCCAAATGAAGTCTGAAACTCTTTTATTTGGGGGAACATAACCAAACCAGACAGCAGGTAGTTTGTACTTCATCTGTGTATGTATCTGTATGTGGTGACCTCTCTGCATACACATATGAAGCGTGCCAGAAGTACACACAGTCCACACCAGATGTCTGGTTGGCTCGGCTCGGCAGCAGAGGGAATGCCCGGTCTACCTAGTAGCCCCTGGGTACTCAGAGCTTCACCTGGGAGACCTCAGAGACCCCATGAGTTCCCTTTAAGCCCACCCCGTGCACACATCACCCCCACCCCCTTTGTTTGCATGTATTTCTCATTTCATTTTAGAAGGGATGACAAACGTTTGTGAAAACAGTGAGAGGAGGTGTGATGTGCATAAAACACGTGGTCTGTACCACCTTGACCTCAGTGTCTCAGGTACTACAAAAAGTATCTCATTTTCTCATCAAGTGCAGAAGAAACATCCTGGCTTTCCGAGATATCTGCCCACATGTTCTGGGCACACATGAAGTAGAGAAGCCCCCTCACCATTTTCCCTGTAGTGTGACACTTTCTGGTTGTCACTGACCACTCAGTAGTGGCCAGGCCCTCCTGGCAAAGTTCCTGAGCCCTCACAGGCACCCCCCAGGGCAGGTGCTACAGCCTGGCCCTGCCAGAGGATCGCACCTGGCAGCACACAGTGAGGGCCACCCGCTCTTCCCTCAGCTTGGCCGTGCCATTTTCCCCTCCAGGATGGGGCAGGAGCTGTGCTCTGTGTCCCCAGCAAAGTTGTCCCACCCCACGCCAGGACAGTTGGCTGAGAAATAGGTTCAGTTACAGGGTTGAGCCCTTCTGTCCAGTTTCTCCCGGAACTGACCCAGAGGGGCTGGGACAAGAGTCAGAAGCCCTCTGCAAAATTTGGTTACTTAAAGGCAGTGTCTTAAATGTAAAGGTCTGCTGGGGAGTTGCACTCACCCTGAAGAGGGCGCTGTGCTGCCTGCCGCTGCTTTGCTTTTTTCTTCTCTCTGCTGTGTTCTGGTCTGAGTTGGCTTTGAGACTTCTCAACAGCTAGTATCTGCAGGACAGTTCATTGGTAACGCTTCCTCTGAGGCCCCTTGTGTTACAAAGGGAGACCTTGGGAAGTCCTGTGCTTCACACGTGGCCTTCAGTTTCTGCTTTCTGTCCCTTAGAAGCATGGGACTTTGAAAATACTTAAAAAAAACAAAAATATCTGTAACTTGGTGCTTGTTGATGAATTGCAAGCTGGCCTTGCAGATGGAGATATTTATCTTTCAGTTTATTTGAAAGAGGTCTGGTTTTAAATTTGTAGCCTAGATTTATTTTATTTATTGTGTGTGTGTGTTTGTGTTTCTGTTTTTAAGGGTTAACCAATACTAGTCCAGCAATTTAAACTGTCTGATCAGTGCTGAGAATGCGTCGGCAGCCAGCACTGCTCACTCAGCAGTGTCCATCCAAGTGCCTTGAAGGCCCAGGTGGAATTTAAGGGTTGGGAAGGTCTCTCTGTCCTTCTCTGTCGCCACCACCTCATTCTTACATCGCAGTATGTCTTCCCCCTCATTTGAGAATTAAGAAAGTTGCCACTTGACCTACCTTTACCTGTTTTTGTCATGGAGATTTCCTACCCTTCAGAAACAGACTTCAAGACCAAACCCAACTGATTTTCTATTGAAACCATAATGTATTCTCCCAAGGACTCTTAACAGCTGAAGTTGTATGTTTTCACCAGTCATAACAACTCCAGGTTACAGCTGAAACCTGTCATATCTTGGCTTACATCCACCATAGGGCTCAGCAGTCTGTCCTTGTCACTGGCTCTGAGTTCCTCACTTGGGGTTTGCAGGACAGTGTGTGCAGCCAGGCACAGTGGCTCACGCCTGTAATCCTAGCACCCTGGGAGGTTGAGGTGAGAGGATCACTTGAGCTCAAGAATTTGAGGCTTCAGTGAGCTTTGGAGATACCACTGTACTCTAATCAGGATGATGGAGCAAGACTCTGTCTCAATCCCCCCACCCCCCCAAAAAAGACATGCATTTCTTCCCTGTGTATGTGAAGGCTGGGTAACCCTGTTCTCCGGGTTTGAAATGATGAGGGGGGTCAGTGCTGATGAGATTACTTCCACCCACATTCTTTACAAAGTGCTGTGGATGCTGTAATTTACCATCCATGCCACACAGCTCAATATTGACATTAAGAGTGTCTTCTTTCAAGTAGCTGTGATATTGAACTTTGGTTGTTTTGGTAGTCTTTTTTAAAATGGAGATTTCACCTCTGCCCACACTCCATTAACTTAAAACGATTTGGTCAGGTTCTAGTTGGACATGTTGAGAATTAGAAGAGACCCCTGAATTTCCCCCAAACTTCATCTGGGAATATAGCCCACAGTGCAGAGAGCCACTTACCAAGAACTGTGCTTTTACATACCTCTGCCATCTCTTTTTCCCTTTTGAAATTGACCTCCATGGGACTTACTGTGTTTGGGGGTTACCTGGGTTGTGACTGCTTGTGCTTTGCTTATGACCTTGAGGATTGCTCTGGTGACTGAGGCTAAACCCCTGTTTGGTTTCCTCTCCCATGAGAAGAAGTGGCTTTCTAGGTGACGCAGGTCGAAGTCCCCACACTGTTTCCACACAAGTGACCCATGTCTCTCCATCAAGCTAAAGAAACCAGATGCCTGAAATTTTGGGGGGGCAGATGGAGATGGTATTTGGTGTCCCCAGGCTTGCAGAACCTGGTGAACGTCCATGAAGGATACTTCATCTTGCCTTTTGTGTATCATCTCAGTAGTAGTCGCCATCCTAGTCGGGTGACATGCACTTTAAATGCTCTCACAGTTGGCTTCATTTTTGAGACAATCAAAGTGTGTTTTCTTAAAAAATGAAGAGGGTTAAAACATGCAAATTGCCATATTCCACCTTTGCCAACCTCTCTCTACCTACAGGAGAGCAATCTGTGGGGAAGAAATCCTTAGCAAGATTTTTTTTGAAAAGGTACGAATCTTACCTTTTTCCCCTTATGTGTCTCAGGGTAATACCACTCAAAGTCATCCCTTCGCTGATTTTCTCCCTTGTTTGTTATCTTCCCAAGTCCTATTAGAAAGCAAAAAATTTTGAGACCTTTATTGTTTTATTAAAAGGAAGGGACAGATGTTGGTGTGCGAGGGTTTAATTAAATACGTCCGTCCTTAAAGGGTGGAACCATAACCTTATAGGCCAGAACGTGATCCAGAAGTTGCTCTCCAGAAAAGTACTTTAGATTTCATTCTTTTGTCTTTTTGTCTCTAAAGCTCTTTTTCTATAGCCAGTTCTTTCTTCCCAAGGATTTTGGTGTTTGCATTGATCCTGAAGTTTACTCTACCAGTGGGTGGCAAGTTGTGCCAGGAGACCAGCCAGGCTTCAGGAGGAGTTTAGAAAGGTGGTCCTGGTGAGGGGGCCTCAGTGGCCAGAAAGACGGTGGCTCTGAGGTCACCCCAGACACTGCAGAAGATACCTACCCTCTGTGTTTGGATGCCCTTGACACATAGAAACCTGAAAGTAACAGGTTGGCTGAAATGGTGACGAAGCCTACAGGAGATAATGTGCCTTGCCTTGGGACTGTCTTGTTAAGTCTATCCTCAGAAAGGAGAGGATAAAGAGTTTGTTTGGGTTTTGCTCTTAATTTTTTTTCCAACATAGCATGACATTCCTAGTTAACCAGAGCCTTGGAATCTACTGCCTGCTGGCCAGGTTTTGAAAAGTATTTTAATGCTGCCATAAAAGGAATAAAAAGAGGAGTGGGAGAGATAAAGGCATCTTTCCACACACTCATCTAATCTGTCAAAAGGTTGACAGGTTATGAATTATTTCTCCATCTCACTAAGGTTTAACTGTCAGCAGCCCCCACTGGCTCAGTGTCCCTTGCCACACAAGTGAGTGACCTGTGATGCAGACCAGAGGAGCTTCTGCAGGAAGCACACACGCTGTTCACCCCAGACCTTCCCGGCGTGATTGTGCCCCTGCCTTCATCACCACCGGGCAGGACGTACAGTCCAGGGCACTGACGTGGGACGCGCCCAGCTAGTTTGCCTTTGGTTCAGGGTTAGCCCTGTGCTTCCCTGTGTGTCGGTTCCCCGCACAGGCTCATGGAGGAGACTCCAGCGAGAGCCTGCAGGAGGGTCATCAGGACACACCTCATACCTCTGCCCTCATTGCTTCTTTCTAAATGCTATATGAACATTGCTGTGCTGAAGCCTATCAAAAGATGGGTCAGAACCCAAATGCTGTATATTAATTTGTAATTATGTACAAAGTGAAGCAGTTTTATGTAAGGATTTTTTTCAGTGTGCTGGAATTTTGCCACAACATACTGGCTTTTTATTTATCTTCCTTTCTAGTTACTGGCTTCAGACTCTTGTAAAGTCCCCCTCAGCCCTTTCAAAAAAATAAATTCCTTTGAAGTCTTGATTGTTGCTGTGACTTATTCCTGTTCCTGGTAAAAGGGAGACTCCCTTCCCCAATTCTGAGGAGAGCCTTCTCCCCAGTGACAAGGTTCCTGTGCCTTTGGAAGGTGGGTTCAGGAAGGAGAGGACTTCTGTACCAGCGGCCGCTGGGAACCTGTCATTCTGCCCTGGAGCATGGCTCCAAATCCAGCGGTGATGGATTAGCCCTGAAATTACAGGGTTTGTATTTCCAGGTAAATCTGTGCAGTGAGGGCTAGGCGCCTGTGGCTCAAGTGGCTAAGGCACCAGCCACTTACACCTAAGGTGGCGGGTTAGAATCCAGCCCAGGCCGCCAAACAATGATGGCTGCAACCAAAAAAAAAAATAGCCAGATGTTGTGGCGGGCGCCTGTGGTCCCAGCTACTTGGGAGGCAGAGGCAGGAGACTCGCTTGAGCCCAGGAGTTGGAGGTTGCTGTGAGCTGTGGTGCCACAGCACTCTACCCAGGGGGACAACTTGAGGCTCTGTCTCAAAAAAAAAATCTGTGCAGTGAGTATGTTTTTGCTGTAGAACTCCCGAGCCTTAATGTCAGTTCACCTTTCCTTGCCCACTTTCTCAGACCCAGACGAGAGCAGTTGCCAAAAGCTGATCCAAGAAGAAAAAGCCCTCCTTACATGTAGGCTGATCTCAGGAGCTGGGCCTTCCCAGAAACTGCTGAAATACACAGTATGAGCTATCATAGGACCTAGGGCATCTTTTCCTAACCTGCTGGCTGCTTGTCTGACCCTGAGCTTTCTGGACTTGTAGAAAGGCCTCTTACATCCTAGTGGGCATTTCAGAATTGCACTGCCTGGGTAAAGAGAGTGGGCATGGCTGCCCGGAATCTTGGCTCTGCCACTTTCTAGCTCCCTGCCCTGCCTCCACCTTTCAACCAAAAAGAATAAAGTCCTGCTAGGCTGCCAAGTGTCTCCTTTTCCACTTGGAAGTGCACAGATTTCTTAACAGTCTTTTGTAAGCCCAGACACAGCTGCCTACCCAAGAGCCAGTGAAATACTGGTCCCTTTTCACCCACTTGCTGCCCTTAGCTGTCCCCTACCCCACTGGGCAGCCCATCCTGGCCGGGGTCCATGGTGGCCCTCATCCCACTGAGACATCCTCAGCTGGGCAAGTGGAGTGATTCCCATGGCCTCCCTCCTCGGCTCTCCACTGTGTTGGTCCTGAGCCAGGGACAGGCTCTGTCTGAGAGGCAAGGGAGCAGGAAGGTTCCATTCTTCTCTTCCAGAGGCACGAAGCAGAGCGCTGGAGATTACTAGACAGCCACTCAGTGGGGTTCACGTCTTCGCCTGCTCCCTAGGGGAGGCTGCTGTGCCCAGAGCCTCTGCCACAGCGTAAACCTGTTCACCAAGTGGCTTATACAAAAAGTAGCCACTTTTGTTTGAAGGTCCCCCATCCCAAGGAAAGCCCATGATCTGGAGGGGCATCCTTCAGCTGGCCAGCCATGCACAGGCAGCAGTGGCTCTGTGGGAAGGAGCACAAGTGACCCTGTGTTAGGACGGATGTCTAAACCGTGATCAGGGAGAGAACTTTAGGAAACCAGAAAACAAAAGCCCAGGGAAGAGCTTGTGGGGAGAGGACATGCCACCCACAGGTCTGGTGACTGCCTCGTGGTGGCTTCACGGAGGCTTTGACAGAGCAACCTCACCTTCTGGGCTTAGGCAATTATCTTGCCTCAGTCTTCCAAGTAGCTGGCATTACAGGTACCCACCACAATGCCTGGCTATTTTTTTTGTTGCAGTTTGGCCAGGATTCGAACTGGCCACCCTCAGTATATGGAGCCAGCACCCTACCCACTGAGCCACAGGCGCCTCCCGGTTCCTTTGTTCTTCAAATGGTCCCAATTTCTTCAGGGGCACAGCCACAGGCTACCCACAGGGTGTGCTGGATTGATCCCCACCTGTCACTCCCTGCCACCCCTGTGGGTGTCCCCAGGGCCCAAGAGGAATCTCCGGCAGGGGAGGGAGGGTGTGCCCCAGATATGAGGAGTGTGGTCCCAGGGTAGTGCCCTCCACCTCCATCTCCCATGCCTGCTGCCTCTGCAGGGCCAGGGGCCTTTCAGTATCCAAGTTCTAGCCAGCACCTCCTGTGATAATTGGGAGACTCTCCTCCTTCATGAGAAACAGGACACCAAGGCCTCAGTAGGAGAATTGAGGGAAGGGACCAGCAGGCTGAGAGCCAGGCCTGTGCTTCCCTCCCTCCCACCCTCCTCACCCCTTCTTTTGTCCCTGAACTTCCCACCCCACCCCCAGCTTGCAGAGCAGGAGCTGGACAGTTGCCTGGACAACCTCAGTTCTTCCCAAGCATTGCCTGGGTTTCTATGGCTCCAAAAAGAAGGACCCTGGTCCTGTGAAACAGTGCGGCCCTGACATAGGGGTATCCCTCTGTCCAGGAGAGCTGCGGACGGATGGAGGCCAAGAAGCCACGCAGAGTGTGCCAGGTTGGGCCC